ACGTATTACCCGCGGTGGATCAAATATAGGTGCTGCTAGAAGAAAATAATCAGATAGTACAAAGTAAATTAGATGATAATAACATTTACATTATATCTTATGGGTATTACAGCATATGCTCCCTCAGTGATGATTTTTTAAGCCTTTGGGAGTTAGTCTCACTCAAAATGAGTCGAATGGGATGTTGAAAATTGAACCCTGGCAAATATTTCTTGCCCCGAACATAGCAGATACATTTGGACTTGGAGGCTCAGGGACAGTAATACCACCAAACGAAACATAGCAGGGAGTTAAATTACCCGATTTATTTCCCTATAAAGAGTTGTCAATCCATCTTGATCAGATCAGTACAACAGATAATATTCAAATCGAAAGTCTTTCAACTCTGCTGAGAGCTATTCCAGTCAAAGAAGAAAAATATAATAACGGTAGAGCGAAATCTTTCTCAACATAACAATATAAAAAATTAAAACGGGATATTATTTCAGACCTCAAAATTTTCTAAATTAGATTTAAAACATCAACCTGTACATATAGGATACTTGAGTGTAACACTCCATATTATAAATAATGGTTGATTTCATATTTAAGTTATGATATAGTATCTTTGTATATATAATATGTATGTTACACACCAGGGAATAACAAATGGTCAGTCTATTCAACTGCTTCATACTATTGATAACTCGGCTGGTCAACTTGTAGTCGCTCTATGCGATGTAACGTATTACCCGCGGTGGACCAATATAGGTGCTGCGAGAAATAATACCAAGTTAATGCTAGAAGATATCCTTAGTTCAAACAGACAAAATGGGTATTACAGCGTATGCTCACTAAATGATGAAATGTTTAAGCCTTTGGGAGTTAGTCTCACACAAAAAGAGTAGAATGGGATGCTGATTTTAGTCAGTGGAGAAGATATTATAATTCTTACCTCGGGCATAGCAGAAACACTTGGACTTGAAGAAGAAAGAACCCAACCAAGCATGGTATGGAATTAATTTGCCCGATTTAGTTCCCTATAAAGAGTTGTGCATCCATCTTGATCAGATCAGTACGACGGATAATATTCAACTCGAAAGTCCTTCTACTCTGAAGAGAGCTATTCCAGTCAAAATTGAAAAATACAATAGTGGTAGAACGGAATCCTTCTCATCATTACAATAAAAAAATTAAATCGGGGTATTATTTCAGATCTAAAAAATTCTGTATTAGATTTAAAACATCAACCTGTACATATAGGATACTTGAGTGTAACACTCCATAATGGTTGATTCATTAGGCCCTGGATAGCATAACCTTAGACAATGTAATGCAATTGCGCTTTCCGATCTCGGAGACACAGAGTGATTCGGTAAACCAATGGCAAGTTATACGCTTTACGTTTACAAGATAATGTATACAAGCGGAAAGAAGTTACATTCACAGGTAATCTAGGAGATTTAAGTGATGTCGTTTAGTAGACTCCATAAAAACACTTCATACTATCTTACTCACAACAATGATAATAAATGTGCTATGGTCGAAGAAAAAATCGTCTGCCTATTGAATATAATCATTACCCCACTATATGTGATGATGGGTAAGGCACATAATTTAACTAAGATAATAAATAGTGGGATCGTACTCGGGGCTATCCCCTCAAAACGAAAAAGTGTGTTAGTCGCTCCCCTGCCAGAAAACCCAGGTCATATGTTTTTGAGTCATCGGGCAGTAAAAAATGTTAGTTTAAATTTGGTTACTGAATTCAATGATATAAAACAGAACTTGAGTGCAATACATAATATCCTTCTATGCTTATTATTGAAGTCTTGTTTGGGGATGCCTTCAAGATATTACCAGGTCGATCGATTAAATGGCTCAAGCAACACAAGCGTCGACGTTGTAGTATTATTTATGTAGGAGCATCGCCCGTTGCAACCCTTGAGGGGATCCAAATTATTAAAGGTGATTACATTTCTCCTACTAAGATATTTATGCCGTATAATATACATTTACTAAGGTTGATGTATACTCTCAAAACATTGAAGCAAGACCAATTAAAGACTATTATATGATATAATATTATACACTATGGGTTTATATCCGGTGCTGGATGAGGCATCTGAAAAGATGGATACTGTTGATGGATTTCGATTAAATCAAATAAGCAACATAAAACAGCGAATAGAGAAGGAGAGGGAGTTGAGACTTGGATTGTATAAAAAATACCACAGAGCTGTGAATGTTCTTGACAGAGTTGACACTGCACTTGTAACGGCTGGCATGGGACTCGGTGTTGGTTTATTATCAACTATAATTGCCGCGCCTTTCCTAATTGGCATGGAAATAGCCGCCGAAGTCTCAGGACTTGCAGGAATAGCCATAAAATTGATATCTCGTAAGTTGCAAAAGAAAGCATTAAAACATGATAATATTCGGATACTCCCCGAAGCATAGCTGAACAGCATTGAGGATCATATTTCAACAGCACTGGCTGATTGTAAGCTATCTGAGGAGGAGTTTCGTTTAGTGTCGTCAGAACTCACCAAATACAACGCAATGAAGCAGGAGATTTGATCAAATTCTCGTAAGACCAGTGGCATTAGCGAAGATGAGAGAAAAAAGTTCATAGAACAGAGGAGGCAGCAAGCGCATCAATTATTCTGTGCCAAAACCAAAGAACTGGTTGAAGATTAAAAATAGATTGCTTCCTATCATTGCATCACATTTAAACAAATGCTTACATAAGTATATAATAATGTCAACAACATTTATGTTCCAGGACAAAATTATCAAATGGCGAGAATTACCACAGGGTATATATTATATCAGTCATGTCAAATCGACCAAATACGGTCATCAATTGTTTCTTTCCAATTTAGAAAAAGAGTATATAGTCTGGTCTGCTAGTAAAATGAACGAAGAAATTAGTAAAAATGTTGAATATCACTTTGTTCAAAATAATGGTATGCGTATGAGTAAAAATAATGGAGAATATTTTCATTACAATTTAGTTTAATATCATGACGATCTTTGAATCACATCATCGTTTACACATAAAAAATTCCATCTGTAGAAGCGGTATAGGTATATAAATCTGGCTCCAGTGGGGTTTGCGGCAGAATCACCATTACCTATACTACTACAGTTACAAGGCCATGCAGGGCGAGAGAATGAAATCCACTCACGTGCGCTTGCTTACATTTAGTTTACGGCTCAATTGACAGCAAGTTGCTTTTCCATGGAGATTTATGTTCGACGATCTGTTTGGCTTTCCAAACTTAATTCAGTTTAATTTGTTTTTAAAACAGCAATAGGGGAATGCTACTGGACTAAAACAGAAATGGAGTTATCGTTCTTGTCTGAAGTAGTTCTGATGTTCATTCGCCAAAATTAAATCCTTCCAGACGGGTCACAATTGAACGAGAATTACACATGTCAGTCAGAAATGGAGCCGTTCATAGATTACCCCGTGTATGAAGCAAAGCCTGACATCGAGTGATATAACGCTTCCCGCTCACCAACATCCGGGCTTCACTGTGTCCCATTTAAGTGGTGTCGCTACCGGAGATAGTATATCCTATGAATTAAGCGACCGGGTCGTAAATACATAACATCCGCACTGACAAACATGCAGCAGATATTTAATAGATGTTAAAAAAAACCTCCTTGTACATTAATTTATCAAATGTTCCAACGGCTTGACACTCATGTGTGTGTGCGTGTACGTGTGCGTGTGTGTATTTGTGGATGGGGTTTGGATGGAGCGGTGGTGGGCTTGTGTGTATGTAAGTAGGTATTAGAGAGGGAAGGACATGGTCTATAGGCGATGACGTCATATAACAGTATCTGCATGCCCATTCGGCTTTAGTATAGAGTAATATAAACAGTACATACTGGACACTTCATCATCAATGTAATACTTAATCAATATGTTTTGAGAAAACAATTTCATCACTCTGAAACATTTGTTGAAATAACCCTTTGGTGCAACGGGAAAATAATTATGAAATATGTTATGACCATATAAAATTATCACTGCCTCAGTGAATTACAAAAATGCAAGAGCTGAGGTGAGGTGAGATGAGGTGAAATTTGGTTTAACGTCGCGTCCAAGATTATTGCACTTATATATATGTGTGTGTGTGTGTGTGTGTGTGTGTGTGTGTGTGTGTGTGTGTGTGTGTGTGTGTGTGTGTGTGTGTGTGTGTGTGTGTGTGTGTGTGTGTGTGTGTGTGTGTGTGTGATGTCACTTGGACGTGCCATGACACTATGTTAGCGAATTAAACATTAAACATTGTGTGGCTATATGTCTCAATTTATCTTATTCTGATCTATGACGTTATAACATCATTTTATATTTAGTGTCTCTTAGGTCATACCTGGTGGGATGTTTCATTGTATTGTTTATGTACGTGTTTTAGTATACACACGTGATGCACGGGATGCTGCGTGGTTGTCGATAGGGTGTTTCAAAAGATATTTACTATAAGAGGTATACTGGTTCGGTATTCGTCATTTTCATCATAAGAAGAATTCTATATATTTATGAACAAAGTAAATACATATGACTGTGTCATTGTGGTTTCATTGGCGATGCCATTACTCTGCTTAAGGAAGACAGACATATCCTCCTTTCGCTTTCTATATCGTGGAATATATTTGTTTTGGATTCTTGTAATATGGTGAACTCGAAGTTCCTCTTGGTTGTGAAACGAAAGTTAAATCACTGTAATTACTACTATGGAATAAATGTTACACATGTTAACTTAATCTTGTCATGAATATTTATTAATGAGAAGAAAATTACGTGATCAGATAAATATATGAATGGCTGCACACTGTTAATCGAATAACAGCTGAGTCATACTGTGTTATGAGGAGTTGGTAATGGCGAGTCGCTAGAGGCTTGTTAAATGACTCCTGTTATCGGCAGTATTGAGTTTATCATACACACAACATACACAGTGATACAACAACTACGGCAACATAGAACTTCCCTGTCACAGTCTACTCACCGATCTTTGATTTAAGTAACACAACATATCCGCGCTTGCCCTGGCTCTCTTCGGGTTCACCGACATAGTCCACAGTTTCAGCTGACGTTTGGATACCAATCTGAGATAAGTAAGCATTCACAAACTCCCAGACATTAACATTGCCCGGGAGGCCTGTGATTAAAACAGATCGCGTTGTGAGTTCCTCTCGGCTCGACATTGTCACAAGACAAGCGCCATTTTTAAATGACATGTCGTGATTTATCAAAACGAAAGTAGGATTCCTTAATTACTTCCTCTTTTGTTTTGTTGCATTGTTGCGGCTACGCAAATAGATACCTAGAATCAGACGAGTGGGGGCGAATGTCACCATAAAGAAAACCGGTCTGTTTTATTCTGTATAGTTTCCTTTCTATCACATAAGTATGTGTACCTAAAATGGGTGGTAGTAATTAGAGGTATGAGAGTAAGGGACTGGTTATTATTTATGTTAGGTTTGAGGATTGGGATGGGAAGGGGTGAGGTGAGATGAAAACATAACACAGCGCAAGAGGGGGACGCCAACATTTATCACAACTGTATGAGAGGGGAGGGTGGCTGTGGATGATGTGGCTAATGGAGGCCACACAGCGTAATGTTGCCACTTTGATAGCATCATTTTCGAATATTTGTCTCGTTATTTCAATAATTGTATATTATTTTCGAAATTATTTTCATGTTTTTTCAATTTTCCTTTCGAAATTTCGAGTTTTTTCTCGTTATTTGGAATTTCTAAAGAAATAACGAAATATCGTAATGTGTATTATTTACTCGTCATTTCGAAATTTATCAAATTTTATTTTCAATCATATTCTCGTTATTTCAATCATTTCTTAATCATTTCTCGTAATTTCGAGTTCTGTTCTTGTTACTTCCATCATTTGTTTCCTAATTTCGAGCTTTGTTCTCTATAATGCTTGAAATAAGGAGAAAATAATCGATATAACGAGAAAAAATAATCGACTTTTGAAATGCACTGGAAATGAGGAGGGAATAATCGAAATTACGAAAGTATAAAATTTGTGGAAATTTAAAATGGAAATTTAAAAAAGCAAAAAAATAAGCAAATATTTGAAATGACGGGAAATTGCGATTTAAAAAATATATAATTATGCCACCAAAGTGGCATTGTTACGACGTAAATTGTAATAAAAAGGTAAATTGTAATACTTGCAGAAAATTGTAATAATTTTGATGTAAATTGTAATAGCAACGTAAATTTTAATAAAATTTGACGTAAATTGTAATACGCAAATTGTAATAAAAATTGGTGTAAATTGTAATAATCTCTACTTGCAGTAAAATGTAATAACATGATTAAGCTAACACCCTAGATGTTCAGATCGGCGTGAAAGGACATCACAATTAATCAATCTATTCCTGACCCAACTGACTAAATGAGCTGGAGGTGATATACACACAATATATACAATATTGTCAAGTCCTGATGGAACGACCATCTGATATTTGGGATTAAGGTGGGGTGCCTGAGATTTTGCATGAAGACTGGACATTTTTTCAGTTACAGGTGCTAAACCAGACATTTTTTTATTAAAGCTATGAGTCTAAACATTATATAAAAGCCATCTTTTAACGATGTATTTTTTGTGGCAGACAATCTGCCAAATAGGGAGTTTGTTTTATTTGTTTGTTTGTTGTTTAACGCCGCACTCAGCAATATTCCAGCTATTTGACGGCGGTCTATACATAATTCAGACAATCCTGTTATTGATATCATAAGCATCGATCAACGCAATTGGGGTACGATGACATGCATCAGCCAAGTCAGCGAGAGTGGCCACCCGATCCCTTTAGTCAAGTCTTACGACAGGTAACGTCGCGTTTTACGGCAAACAGGGGCTGCTGAAGACCTTTTCTAACCCGGATCTCCACGGGTGACATAAAGAGAGAATGTGTTCATGTAAACGTCCAGCTGCAAAGTGCCAGCTTAATGCAGGAGGATCACAACGATGGAATATGTCTTAGACGTTGACGTGTGAAACAGAGGTATGGTTTTGACGGACCGAGGAGCCTGCATCAAAAGGAATGAGTGAGTGAGTATGGTTTTACGCCGCTTTTAGCAATATTCCTGCAATATCACGGCGGGGGACACCAGAAAAGGGCTTCACACATTGTACGCATGTCGGTAATCATGCACTTAAAACACTAGGCTACCCGACCGAAAGGACACAAGGAACAAGAACACGGAACAAGAACAGCGATAAGAACACACGGAACAAGAACAGCGATAAGAACACACGGAACAAGAACACGGAATATACCCATGCTTGCCGTGAAGTTTACCATGCTTGTCGTAACTAACGGGATCGGGTGGTCACGCTCGCTGACCTGGTTGATCCATGTCATCGTATCCCAATTGAGTGGATCGATGCTCATGATGTCAATCACTAGATTGTCTGGTCCAGACTCGATTCTATACAGACCGCCGTCATGTAGCTTGTATATTGCTGGGGACAGGGTTTAACAAACTTGTCTCTCCGTGGGGATTCCATGTAATACTGTAGGTCTCAAGCAACCAATACTTTACTCCGTGGGGAATACAGGTAGGAATATATTTGTAGCAACCTAAACATGTCTCCTTTGTGGGATTCTAGGTAAGAGTTTAGGTCTCCCACAACCTATACGTGTCTCCTTTGGGGGATTCTAGGTAAGAATACAGGCTTCCGGAACCTATACGTGTCTCCTTTGGGGGATTCTAAGTAAGAATATAGGCCTCCCGCAACCTATACTTGTCTCCCTGTGGGGATTCTAGGTAAGAGTATACGTCGCCCTCAATCTATGCTTGTCTCCCTGTGGGGATTCCAGGTTAGAGTATAGGTCTCCCGCAACCTATGCTTGTCTCCTTTTGAGGATTCTAGATAAGAGTAGAGGTCTCCTGCAACCTATACTTGTCTCCCTGTGGGGATTTCATGTAAGAGTATAGGTCTCCCGCAACCAATACTTGTCTCCCTATGGGGATTCCATGTAAGAATATACATGTAGGTCTCCCGCAACCTATACTTGACTACCTGTGGGCGATTCTAGGTAAGAATATAGGTCTCCCGGAACCTATGCTTGTCTCCCTGTGGGGATTCCATGTAAGAGTATAGGTCTCCCGCAACCTATATTTGACTCCCTGTGGGGATTCCATTTAAGAGTATAGGTCTCCCAGAACCTATACTTGACTCCCTGTGGGGATTCCATGTAAGAGTATAGGTCTCCCGCAACCAATGCTTGTCTCCCTATGGGGATTCCATGTAAGAGTATAGGTCTCCCTCAACCTATACTTGACTACCTGTGGGCGATTCTAGGTAAGAATATAGGTCTCCCGCAACCTATGCTTGTCTCCCTGTGGGGATTCCGTGTAAGAGTATACGTCTCCCGCAACCTATACTTGACTCCCTGTGGGAATCCATGTAAGAGTATAGGTCTCCCGGAACCTATACTTGTCTCCCTGTGGGGATTCCTTGTAAGAGTATAGGTCTCCCGGAACCTATACTTGACTCCCTGTGGGGATTCCATGTAAGAGTATAGGTCTCCCGGAACCTATACTTGTCTCCTTTGGGGGATTCCATGTAAGAATATAGGTCTCCCGCAACCTATACTTGACTCCCTGTGGGGATTCCATGTAAGAGTATAGGCCTTCTCAACCTACACTTGTCTCCTTTTGGGTAAAAATGTGGGTCTCCAATAAGCTATATTTGTCGTGAGAGGCGACCAAATGGATCGGATGGTCACGCCCGGCGACTAGTTAATGTAAATGCATTCACAAATGTCTAGAATTGTGTCACTGTCGTTCTTGATGGTGTTGGAAGCTGTCAGAAAGCTGTCGGTGTTTGCAACTTTTAAAATCTGCACCGGGCAAGTAGATACACCACAAGTCACGTTGAAAGGGCTTCGGATCGCCCTGTTATTGCCCCCATATAGATACAGCCAGCCTTCTAGAAACTGTTCAATCCCGAAACCTCTTGAATATTCAAGCCTGCCATGTTCATGTTTACACAAGAGCGGATATCCCCACATTATTCGCTGCCGCCGATCTGTTAAAATCTAGCCACAACAGTATTTAAAATTTTACTGCCACTTCAACCATTTGCAACCATTGCGTACGTGAGTGAATGAGTGTGGTTTTACGCCGCTTTTAGCAATATTCCAGCATTATCACGGGGGACACCAGAAATGGATTTCACACATTACACCAAAGTGCACACTCTGTTCGGACAACATGGCATACAGTGACGATATTGAATTGTATATTTTGAGAGAGTATTCTTGTTCAATACAACTAATTTGAACAACACTGATCGTCTGTGTTTATTGTACATTATTTTTAAACAGAGTCTGCATAATATAAACGTACTAAAGTTATGTGGTTGGCAGAGTGGTTAAAAACCATAATCATTAACATATAAGGTGTATTTTTTTCAGAACAACACATCTGGTAAGGCCGGTGCCCCACACGTGAGTACAGAAGCGAGTTTAAAAGATTGTAAAGATGAAAAAGGTTAACTTGATCAAATCGTTAACTTTCTACCGAAGTACTTCCTATTGATACTGGAGGTGTGACGTGTCTACAGGCGATGACGTCATAAAACAGTGATCTGCATGCCCATTCGGCTTTAGTATAGAGTAATATAAACAGTACATACTGGACACTTCATCATCAATGTAATACTTAATCAATATGTTTTGAGAAAACTATTTCATCACTCTGAAACATTTGTTGAAATAACCCTTTGGTGCAATGGGAAAATAATTATGAAATATGTTATGACCATATAAAATTATATGTGTGTGTGTGTGTGTGATTGTATGATTGTTGAGTAAACAGCGTCCAGTCCAGAAGCAACACATCTTCGTCTCATGGAATGGACCAGGCGTCGCACAAAGTCCTGTGTGATATCTGTCCATATCTGCTGGAGCATGTTTCGAAGTTCCTGGATTGTCTGTGGAGCACGTGGATGACGTCGAAGGCGCCGATCCATCTCATCCCACATGTGCTCGATTGGTGAGAGATCAGGGGAGCGAGCCGGCCAGGGCATGACATTCACGTGTTTTGATGAAGAGATTCCTGAACAAGTCGAGCAATATGAGGCCGGGCGTTGTCATGTTGAAAGGTAATGCCTGGGCCATGACGACGCAAAACGGTAGAACAACAGGGCCGATGATCTCGTCGCGGTAGCGCTGTTCATTGAG